ATCAGGGTGAAATCATACAGAAATCAGTCCACTAAAAGAGTAACATTTTTGGTCTGTATCTTGTTCAAATTTAGGATTGATCCATATATTTTTCCAATACCTGTGCCAGGAAAGTAATCTTTTAATTAATATCACAGTTACTTCTAATTAATATCCAATCAAGTTTTTTCAAATCTTTTTTTAGTACATATCATTCATTATTTTCTACAATGTCAATCTAAATGTATTTTTTATAGGAGAGTTTTAAATTAAGTTAAATTAAATTGAATTTACTATATATAAATTATTATCACACCATCCATTAAACTTTTTATTTACTAAGCTGTAGATGTGTTTTAATGTTTATTCTCAGTTTTAAGAAGCAAAAGTATGAAAAGAATAAAATATTTAATGAAAACAAAATTTTATAATGTAAAAAACATTTCTGGTTTATAGCAATTAAATTTGAGTTAAAGATATGGGATATATTACTCATTCAGGACTTGTAAAATCACTGATATAGCTTGGCTGTAAGAATAAATCAGTGGCAGATTCACACAAGTGCAGACCAGAAGGCACTTTAGGAGAAGCAGCATCAAGCTGCTGGAGGAAGCTACCCATGAGTTCAGGACGTGCAACCAGTTGGAGACTAAGGTGCGGTCCCATCGGTGTGGCCGTGCACCAGGCCGCACCACAGTATACAACCATTAAAATTGAATTAAAAATAAAATAAAGAGCCTTATTGGCAGCAGTTGACCAAAATATTAACCCACTGATGAAACTTTGTATGACAAAAATGCCAGGAAGGAGGATAATAAAAAAAAAAACAGAAAAAGACCAGGAGGCATTTGCCTGTAGTAGCAATGTTTGAGTAGTTGGAAAATTTGAATTGAATTTTGATTCAATAGAATTTTTATTTAAAGAACAGGCTAATCAGTTTTTAACATTGAAGAAATTATTGTTTTTGGAGACAAGAGCTGTGAAAAGTGGCACACAATTGTTTATTGTAGTCAATTTGAAAAAAAAAATTAAATACTCAACTATTATTATTTTTTTTTTTGTAAATTAGGTATATAAATACATACTCAGTAACGTCTCCTTCATATATATAATGTGTATCTAACCGATTAGTGTAAAATTTTTTCATAATTTGCATTTTTAAGAGATTTGTATGAAGTTTTCTTTTTACTAATTGATGAAAATCTAATCTGTCTTTCTGAAGAGAAGAATAGTTGGGGTGGTCAGTCAAAAAAGAAGGCAAAAATAAATGATATTTATTTTTACATATGCCGACGTTTCGACCTGAAGTTCAGGTCTTTCTCCAGAAGTGTTGAAGGGAGATACATTCTCCCTTCAACAATTCTGGAGAAAGCCCTGATGAAGACCTGAACTTCAGGTCGAAATGTCGGCATATGTAAAAATAAATATTATCATTTATTTTTACCTTCTTTTTTGACTGACCACCCCAACTATTCTTCTCTTCATTATCCACGACAGTCAACCAGTCTTTCCTTAGAGGCTGATTGCAATATTAATTAATGCCCATACATTATTAAATTTAAAAAAATATATTAAGTTTGGTCACTGTGACAGCTATCTCTTCCCTTCTAAAAAAAGTACGCCAAATGAAGTCAAATGTCAAGACAATGCTTATTTGTTTCTTTGATTACAGATGCCCTCCAGGCCAAATAGTCAATCAGCAATTATACTTGGGGGTTTTGAAGGAGAAGAACCAGAAAAAAAGGTGGATATTTAGTGCATAGGGCATTGGTTCTTTCAACACGATAACTCATCAGCCCATACCACACTGTCTGTAAAGTAGTTTTTGACCCAAAACTACACCAGATCTGGTTTATTCACCATTTGGTTTATTTAAATTAATAACCACTGGTTGATTTATTCACCAGATCTGCCCCCCCCCCCCTCCCCCATGACTTCTTAATTTCCCTTGACTCATAAGGGACATAAAAGAAAAACCAAAATTGCTGAAAGAGCAAAAGGACATACAAATAAGTGAATTTTAAACCAGTTTAGAACAATTGCAGAAATTATTAGACAAGTGCATTACAATCAGTGGGAATTACTTTGAAGGTAATCAAAATTTAATGTCAAAATATTGATTAATTAACAAGTTTTGATGAAATTTCCATTTTTTTGGTTTCCCCCTTGTATCTTTGTGCAGCATTTATTGATTAACTATTCATTGATCATTGATAGAAACCATTTATGATGAATTCTTATGTTTTATTATAAAGAACAACAATGATAGTATTTCCAGCTTTACTTTTGAATTTCTTCACAAATTCTGTTGGATCTTCAATTTTTTCTTGTTCTTCAATGCGGTATTCTTTTTCAAATTTCATCTGGGTGTTTAAAAATTGTTAAGCAAAAACAATTGATTTTTCTGTAGGCATGTAATAACTATGGCTCAGATTGTTAGGATTTCTCCTTAAGGGGAAATAGAATTCTCAAGAAATCTATGCCAATCTTGAGTAGTAGATTTAAAATACAAAATTCTATAGGATCTATTTTGCAATCTATTTTGCAGATATTGATATTTTTTTGCAATTGCACACTAAAATTACTACAATAGGTATTCTCCCTATTACTAAATTTCTGACAGTATAATTTTTTTTTTCAATATATATTTAATAAAAAAGTAAATCATTTTTAAATAATTCTATGAAAAATTCATCATATTTCTATTTTTAATGAAAGGACATTAACAAAGTTATTTGGCTGAATCATGAGATAATAGTTGTAAAACATTTAGCAAATATCATTTCCCATAAACTTATAAATATTTCAGCAAGTTCCCTAACTCATTAATTTACATATATATTTATATTCAGTTAATTTTCAGTCTATATGGGCAAGTTCCTAAACTGCGCTAAACTCATTTATTCCATTCAACTGGGTGAAACAATGAGTTCAGCAATTTTCCCTATTTAGATCTTTTTTGAATTTCAACAATTCAGTAGATAGGTATTTATTTATTTTTCATGTCTATAGTAACCTTCTAGGAGTGCTAACCTTCCGCTGGAATCCATCAGGTGGTTCTTAAATACACCCTACATGACAGTCCGTCATTGCTGGATTCAATCAAAGAAATAGCTCTGAGTTTAGAAACTCGATTTTTTTGTTATTAGGTAGTAATGTTTATCATAAAAATCATAATTTTTTAAACATTATGGTTTAATGTTCCTACTCAGTTTTACTGTATTAATTTATGTTTTTCATGTTTAAAATCTACAAATACGATTGTATACTATATACTATTGTTAATAAGTATCAACCTAGTATTTCCAAAAAGTTTCATTGAAATCAGTGATCTCACGTCTGTCACCTCCCATTTCAAGATATAAAAAAACAAATTATTAAACCATTATTTCTCAGGTGTTGTGTAATGATCCCCCCATGTCGGCTATGTGAGACCCGTCAGACTACTGGAGGCAACTCACACTAACTGGACTTAATAGTGACAACCCTTCTCGGTTTACTTTAATCGGAAGTTGCAATGTGGTTTTCTTTCCAGAGCATCAGTATCCCCCAGAGTTTTGATCCATGAACAGTATGTAAAAGAGAAAGAAATATAGGACCTCATGCACCTGTCAACTCTGGGCAGCTGTAATCCATGGATCTAGATAAATTTAGACAAATAAAAACAAAGTAGTATTATTTAATCATGGTCTTTATTAATCTGATTTTATTAAATTTGAAGAGATTTTGGACCAATATTAAACACTAATGATTCAATAATAATATAATATATACAACCATCAAGACACAGACTAAATATTTGAGTTTTGCTAAAAAACCCATAATATGTGGAAAAAAACAAATAATTTCCACAATTTTATCCCTCATTGTTTTTACCCATTCTCATTCAATATTATGCTAAAACTTGTTCAGTGAACTGTCCTAATGATGAAGAATTGTAAAAAGTCGTTTTTGAGTTTTCCACATTACTGTGATCAGAAACAGTATACATTTAGTTTAAATTTATTTAAAATACAGTAATTTCTTTCATTTTATTGATTTCAATGTTTTAAAATTCAGTATATTTAATCCTAGCAAATGGTCGAATTATTATAAATGCAGTAGCATATAACATTTTTGGTTAGTATGATATTTATTGAGTTTTTGTTTTTTAAAAAAGTTTTGTAGTTTACAGTTTATTTAGTAGTTAAATGTAGGGAATATTAATTTTCAACAATTGTAAGTACAAATTCGTCACTATTTTCCTTAAAACTTAATTCAGTTATAATATCTCAAAAGTTAACATGTTTTATAATTGTTGATAATTTTAATATGAAATAATTAAATTCTTTGTGTATTACCTATTCAATTCTTTAGGAACTGATCAATTTGAGAATTATTTCATTAGTATTCACTTGGAAAGAACATTGCGATTGGTCTATTTATTATTAGTTTCGCCTTTTTTGGAATTTGAAAATCCATTTTAAAAAATGGCAGCCAGTGAATATTATATTATTTATGGTGTGTAAAAAGAGTTAAGAATAAATTATGAAATCATAACTGGCAGCCCAAAACAATATATGTACTCTGTAACGGGTCTGACTTCTAAAAAATAGTGAAATTTATGTGAACAATAGAAATGTTAAAAAATTTATGGAAACAAACCCAATGGAATTAACATGGATTTCACACACTTTTTACATTGGTTGATTGTGTAATATTCAAAATCAAAGGACCTTATGGAATCAGTTGCCATCATTTTATAGCATTAGTAGGTGTGTGTATGGTAGTGTGGTCATTTCCACAATCTTAGTTTTAGTTTTCTAAACCAGAAAGACCGTTAATTCTTTATCAGTGTTAATTCAATGATTCTTGAGATTAAATTAAAAAGATTTTGCAGTGATTTTTTTTTCTTCAATTTACATAATATAAATCTATTTTTGTAGCAGAAATCAACTTTTAACCAAAATGTTCATATCATCAGGGTTTTTATACTCCTCATTGGTTTTAAATAATATGTTGAGGAAATAAAAAAACAAAAAAAAAAAAAAAACATTATTTTATTTAATAATTTTGTTGGTATCACAGATTACTTCAATATACAAAAAACATACAACATAGATAGAATATTATATTAAACAACAGTAAACATAGTATTTTTTCATTTCAATTTCCAGAATAAATTTTATATTATAGGAAGTTTATTATTATCAAAAAGGCCTCCATAAATGAAATAACTAATTTAGTGTTTTATCAGGAATTTCCACCATCCAAAAAAAAATCTAATAGAAAACAAAAGGAGATTATATTTGGAGATTATTGCTTGCTTCATAAATTATAAAAATGATTTTTGTGTTATTAGAAATGTACTGTAAATTTAACAGTACATCCCACAAATAAAGGATAACCTATATAAAGTAATTTCAGTTAATATAACTTTATGAAATTTCAGTTAATTAAATATATATATCAAATATCGGACTTCCAAATTATTATGTTTTTATTAGCACTGTGAATTAATGGACCAGGTATACTAAAAGATTTGTTAGAACTAAAAATTAATAATTAGATTAAAAATTCATCAATAATTATTTCCTAAAAAGTGTATTTTTTTATTAATATGATAATGTTTTATTAGTAACTACTTGTTTTCTGATAAAAAATAATTATATGTATGAATCAAAATGTATTTTGCAGATTGTCAAATATATCATTATCATTAAGTTCATTGGAAGAAGGTTGTTGATAATATAACTGATTATTCATGACCAAAAAAAAAAAAAAAAAAAAAATAGATAAATAAATAAAACATTGAGGGCTTTGAAAAATAAGATACTAGGAAGGACTAATTTTATTTCTGAAAATATTCCTATCACGAACATGTTTCAGAAAAAGAACATTTGATAAAATTAATAATTATACAGTTACTAATTTCGTTTAACATTATACAAAGTTGTTTAATATAAATTGTGATTGAAAATGTTTGATATTATTAACACTGCTGATGCTGAATTTATCATGAAATGACCAAGATAAGTCTAATAAAATGTTTCAAAGCGTTGAGCTCTCAAACGTTTTCATATTTATACAAAAAATAAATGGTAAGTAATTAAATTCAGTTTAGCTTTCAACTAGAAAACATTACTAATTTGCATTTATTACAGAACATAAACTAAACTTTAGGTTGCATAATAATACAACATAGTTCATACAATATTTTAAATGCACATTAGACAGCAGTTTTGTTTACAAGTTTACATGAAATAATTAAAAATCCTAAGTAAAAAGTAAGAAAATCATGCATACAACAAGAAATCTATTTTTAAAAAATTACATTTCTCAAAATATGATTTTTATGGATTTTTGAAATAGCCAAGTAATACTTAGTCAAAGACTCTTCCAACTTTTTTTTATATCAACTTCATAAATTTCTACAGCTTTGGTACACTTTATAAATACTTGTAATTTGAGGAGATAACTAAACAGATTATATATATTTTTTAACCTAATATTTACAATAAAATATATACATCATGCACAATAACATTTAAGAACATATTTCCAAGAATTGGAATAGATTAAACAAGTTGTTGGGTATTTAATTTAACTTGAGAATACTAAAAGTTCTTTTGCCCTCAAAATAAAAAATAAAAATAATAAATAGATAAATAAAAATAAGAAAAAGAACTCAATAAAATATTCCATAGTATCGTTTATGTAGATTAGGAGGCCTTCTTTCTGATTTTTGTAGGTCAACATATACAATATATGACATTAAATAAATAAGCATATGCAAATACATATATGTAAATTACCTATATTACTTCATAAAATAGCTACATGTAAAAATTTTCATTCAATTTTTAATTTGAGAATATTTCTGGCCTGTGGTTATAAAAAAGGGGAAAACAGCTTTTCACTAGCCAATACTTAGACTTAGTTGGATGACTATTTTTAAAAATAATAATTTAAAGAAATATTCACACAATTTTCATATTTCTTACAGAATATCAGAAAAATATATACCCTTACACTCAACAAACAAAGCTCTTTTATACAATCAATTTACAAGTAAAGTAGTAAATGCTATATAAACAAACATAAGTATGAATCAATGGATTCATGAGGCAGTCTCATGATTAATTTTATATAATAAAATTCTATGCTACATACAATAGCTACATTGTTAATTTGTTTACTTTCTAATTAATTAGTATCTAACTATAAAACAAAAGACAACACAGCAAACATTAGAATAAAAAGAAATTGAAATAAAAAGTAAATTAAGTCAGACACAAATTATGAATATTGGTGACGTACATTGAGATTAACTTCTCCGTCAGGTAACCTTTTCATTAAAGCCCATGCTTCAATTCTTGATAATTGACACAAATCAATATTATTCACTGAAAGTAATTCATCCCCAGCAAACAAGTTTCCACATTTTTCTGCACATCCACCTGTCCAAGAATATTGTAGATATTAATTTTACACACACACATATATTTAATAACATTAAGAGCTTGAACACATACTTCAGGTATAAATTTTAAATATTAAAAAAATTAAGAAAAAAGTTAAACATACCATGAAGGTTTAAAATATGATGCTAAAAAAACAAGTAAAAATAAAAGCATTACTGAAAAACAATTTTGTTTTGTGATTTTTATAAATGAATTACTAAAATCTTGATTCCACTCTCCAAGTACTGATTCTAATAATAAATTAATTGTTGTTATTAGACATTAAATTTAAGAGAAAAAAACTGAGATACTTATACTTTTGATTATATTAATCATAACATCAATCAGAACCATAAATATAATGGGAAACTTTTTTATAGCACTTGTGAAGAATAAATCTGTAAAAGGGAACTAGCACCCCTGCTCACATGAGCGCTTAATCTCTGTTACCTCCTTCATTAGTGAAAAAAGCAGTTTGTTATACCAACAACTTCCCAAACCAAACTCTATTTTATCCTCACCATACCCTATTATTATCCCTGCTTCCACGGACTTCAAGTGGTCTCTTGCCTACTATTGAGGCATTCATTGTTGTGTAGAGGCTTCCTGATGGATTGCTCCAAGCTACATGCCCCATCAATCTTAATCGCTTTGCCTTCATATCATGAGACATTGACTGACCAGTTTCAGTAAGCAGTTCTTTATTGGTCTTGCTTCTCCATGTGTTAGTACTCTGATTCCAGATAGCTCCAGTTATCATGCGGTATATATAAATATATATATATATATTTTTTCTGTTGGCACTGCAGACCATGAAGATTTTTGGCCTGGAGCTCAGATAGCCTGGAGAGGGTCACCCAACCTCACATTGCCACTACATTGGTGTAGTGGCAGACCTGGAGCTCCATAGCCGATCCCTTTAGGGCCAATCTGGCAACGTCCTTCCCACTGACTCACTCAGGTTCAAGGACAGTGACAAATCAGTCTAGATCCATGGATTATGTCTGCTCCAAATCAGCAGGCGCACGAGGACCTATATTACTTTCCCCAAAACAGACCGTCCATGTACTGAACCTCAGGGGAGGGGCTATTAACATCCTAGTAAACCACATCCCGATTTCCAATTTAAGTACACGGGGTAGGATCATCAGTCCTATGCCGGCCAGTATGAGTTGTATCCAGTAGGCTGACGGGCTTCACATACCCGGGGGGAGGGTGACTCTGGCGGCATGGCTTTCCCTGGTGGACGGTCACCCATCCAAGTACTAACCACACTCGACGTTGCCTTACTTAGATTACCTATAGCAAGCGCCTTAGCCCATACGGCTACCCCAGCCCTCCCATATATATATATATATATATATATATATATATATATATATATATATATATATATATATATGTGTGTGTGTGTGTGTGTGTGTGTGTGTGTGTGTGTGTGTATACAGTCATGGTCATATTCTTTCTAGGTCCTTTTCCTCCATGAATTAGTATTCTGATTTCAGACCACTCTGAATCTGATTAGTATCCAGGTATCACAGTTGTATAGCAGAACTACTGCTATTGGTACTTTGTGGGAGGAACTAGTCTTGCAAGAGGGCCCTTTCATAGTCTTTTTTTGCCAATCCCTGACATCTACCTTGAGGTTGCCATCGCTTACTTACCAGAGTGGGAATGTCAAGATCCATTTCCCAGGGCTGTCGAGAAATGAAAATTAACCTGCTCAGGTGAGAACCCACAACATTCAGAACCGGGCACTCTGGGACCCATGCCCCAACATTCTTGGCCATCTTGTCCTTTTATATATCAGAGCTAGCTTTATTATAGCATTATAAACCTTTAATTTAAGATTTCTGGAGAATTTTCAGGATTTCAATACCTTTGAAAGAGAAAAATAAAGCTATTTGTGCACTTATTATATGGTGATCTATTTCTGAGCATTAGTCATTCATTTAAATATTGTAGACCATAGGTATTTGAATCTGTCTACTGTTAGGAAAGATTCCCCTCAAAACATCTTTCCATTTTTCCAACATCTGTATTTTTAAGGTGGAATTTTCATCTTACTTTAATATATTTTGTTTTATCTTCATTTACTAGTAGGCCGATTTGTTCTGCCCCTCTTATCAGAGTCTCTCAATATCCTCTAGATTGCTTCCAATGACAGCTGTATCATATGCATATCCAAAGACTTAATGATTCATTCTGATGTGGACCCCTCCACTTTCACTTGATTTTGTTCTTATTACCTTCTGATATTCTGATAAACAGGATTATTTAGCAGGCAACAGGAAGGAGTGCTATGCCTTTATAGGGCAGTGTGATATTAATTTTAAAAATATAAGTAATAAATTTTCTCCATCTGTAGACACCACTTAACAGGACACAGGTTAATGATGAGTTTGTCTCACACTCTTACTTACATCAATTATAAAAATTAATGGATTATTCTGGAAAAATTTCCTTAGTTTAAAAGTGAATACAAATTTTTATTTTGTTCTAAACAAAATTATAATGTTTAAATTAAAATAACTTGTAGTTCAAAAAAGTAAAGGAAAAAATTACCAGTAAATATTTTTTTGATGGTCAGAGGCAAATCGCCATATGGAGAGTCTTTGCCACCTTCAAGACTAAATCCGAGTCCAGTTCCATCTTTAATTAATGTTACTACAACTGGAGGCCCCCATTTTGTATCTTTTCCTAAAAACAAATTAAAAAATCAATGGATTACAATACCATAGTTTTAGAATAGTTTAATTATCCTTACGTTTTCATAATTTTACATAAAATGAGTGTAATTATGTGGCAATATTCAAACCATACATTTAAAAATAAGGATCTTAAAGGCATCATTTTTAATGAATCGTTACTGAATTTTAGACCTCGGTCAAGTCCATGCATGCTTTCTTGAATTGCAGTTGAGTCCTGATAATATTAACTTTGGTAATACAAAAGCCTGTTTAATATGAAGCTGAAATTAGTGTATGTTCTTTTAAACAAGAAATTTTCAAGCTAAACAATTCACTGTATTGTTTAGTTTTAATTATTATTAAACTACATGAGCTAAAAAAATTCATTGCAACCAAGTTATGCCAGTGACTCAGAAAAATTATCTCTGCTGCATTAGCAGGCCTATAGCTTATTTCTACTTCTAAATAAATTAGTCTCCTTTCTGTGATTCTTATTTACAAAAATTCATAAAGAACAGTATTCTTCCAAATTAATTTGATTAGCACCAAGCCATTCTATTTTTGTTGTATCTATTTTTATAAATTAAATCAGTAAGTACTTTAAAATCCTGAAGACATAGATTAAGAAATGAAATAAATTACAGGTTTAGTATTTAGCTTTGACATGAAGAGTAGTTTAATACAACTAGCTCCCTAGCAAGTCAAATGTTCACAGGGCTAATTATTATTATTAGTAAGGTCCTCCAATCCTGTTGAATCTTGGTTTCACTCTTCTTTAATTGGTATATCTGAAGGTCACCTGTTCTCTAGGGCTAGTCACCTCTCTAGTACCCAAATATTTGGTTTTGGCACCGTTGACTTCCAATTTATTAGTTGGTCAAACAAGTTACAAAAAAAAAGTAAAATATAATATTTAGCAAATTAGTATAATGTTAACCAAATTTATATGTATTTTTTATCAAGTTTTTTACACCCTTTTTTGAGAGTTTATTTTACGTTTCATAAGATTTAAAAGCAAGTAAAGCATCTTTTATTTTACATATTTGGAGGAAATTACTTATTTGTAGTATATCAAAGAAAATTAATGAGAAATTCAGTGTATTTAAAATGAAGTGAAGGAGGAAACTGCCAACTTCTCTGAGCTGGAATTCCTATCTGATTGAATTTATCACAAGGATCTAAAGTAGTTACTCCTACCAATTTTATTTTTACTATTTAGAATTGGTCACATTGTATGTCAAGATGTTTTACCATAAATTTCATACTTCAAACCATGAAATTTATGGTAAAATATTTTACTAAAATTGAGAACCAATCCAAAAACCTTATTACTTAAGAAATTTGAATTTGATCGTTACTATGTTGTGTTAGAGTAGGGAAAATAATCGCAATGGGTAAATGTAAAGTTGAAATTCAGAAATGTAGGAAAAATGAAAATATTTTTTTTATAAATTTTAAATTAAAATATCTGGAAATTTAAAATTTCAGGATTTCAATTCTTACATATTTCCCATCTTTTGCTACATATTTGTGAAAATATAATTACACCTATAGGTATATATTTATATATTTTATTATGTATAAAAATTAGGAATCTAGTAATATTAAAAAAATAAGCAACAGTGTTTACACAAAATCCTGTCTGCAACGAGAATATTAATATCCACACTTTTATAATAATAGAAAAATAAACACACATATAGAAACCTTTATGAAAAGTGAAAGCATAAGTGATTCTTAATGTCACCAATCAATGATTTCAAGAATATTATAAGCATATGAAGTAGTAACAGGTTTTAGACTAGGTGGTGTCCAGTTGCTAATGTCCTCCTGCCCTTAAAGTGTGATAGAACAAAATGAGAATATCTAATTCGAAAACATGATTCTTGTGTGTGCAGATTAACTAATGGCCATTGAAAGTAAAAAAGAAAGCATGGTAAAATCTGTTAAGACTTTGATACATAGATAAGAAAAAAATGGTATACCACAAGTAAATGAAGATGAGCCCAAACATAAGAAGATAAGTAAAAAAAAATATATACAATTGACAACTATCTGAAATATTTTTGCTTAAATATAAATAAAATTTATTAAAATCATTTGACTCCCAACTTTTAATTTAATTTATTTATTTGAATATTAATTATTATTATTTTTTTTGTAAATCCTTTCATAACTTTTTTTATGAAACCTCAGCTTCAGTATTTTCTTTAAATAGAATTTAGAAAATTTTATATAATAAAGTTTATTAAAACTAACAAAAGTAAAAAAAGAGCTCATAATTTACCTTTAGAATTATTTATCAATTTCTGTTCTGAGAATCGTGTACGCACAGCTGTTGATGTGTATTTTGGAGCAGCTGATTCTTCTATTACTTCTCCTTTATTCCGAGATACTACTAAAACTACCTCTGGTCGAGGGGCCTGAAAAAAAAATCTCCATAAAAAACATGTACATAAATTTGCTACTTAACTTCAAGAATGAATTTAATTGTTAATTAGTATTTTATTCATTCAAAGTCAATGTGAGTTGGCAAATAAGTCCTTCCGGTTTTTCTATTTATTTTTATGTCACTATGATATACTTCTTATCTGATGAATTAATCCCTAAGGTGGATTGTTTATCCTGTTTTAATAAGTCAACAACTATATCTTTTAAGTCTTGTTGAAACTATCTTAGTATTGTGTTTGATATTGCGCTGTGAATATGAAATAAAATATCATTCATTATAAGCATATTTTGTTGTATTATTTTTAAAAAAAGTAAGCGTGCTGCAGAAGCTCATAGAAAAAATTGCAGTATTTATGGATATGATGCCTTAACTGAACGCACATGTCAAAATTGGTTTGCCAAATTTCATTCAGGAAATTTTGACATCAATGAAGCTCAACCATCTGGTCACCCACATGAAATTGAAACAAGCAATGTTAAGGTCATAGTTAATCAAATCCCACCCAATCAGTGCAAGAGATTGCTATGGCCCTAAATATGTCACACACAAGTGTAGAAAACCATTTGCACAAGCTCGGCTATGTTTCCAGGATTAATGGTTGGGTTCCTCACATGATTTTTTTTTCAAAAATCACAAAAAATGTTTTAACTTCAATACAACTTTAGCTACCACAAGTAATTTAGCAGGAATTTAGGGCCACATAAACTACACAGAATGACATCAACAGGACCTTCATAAACAAACTACAAATGGAGATAAAAAATAAAAACCTATAAGGAGTTTTTGTTTATTTATTCCTTATGTAAGCATTAAATCAAAAAACCATTTATACAGCTTGGAAGAGCAATAATTCAGCTTTTCAACGGATATAGTAACATTGAATTTGGAGAACATCCTGAAGAGTTATGAATGATCGGGAAGTGTTTTGTGTTTCACCAAGACAACAACAATAGGTTCCACACCTCAATGGTCACTCGCAATAAATTATTGAGACTTGGATGGAACATTTTGCCCCACTTTCCGTATTCACCAGACCTAGTTCCAAGTGACTACCACTTATTCCGGTCTCTGCAGAACTCCATGAATGGAAAGAAATTCCAAAAGGAAGAGGACATGGACATCAAAAACCACTTGAGTCAGTTTTTAACAATAAACTCCAGAAATTCTATGAACATGGCATAATGCAGTAAGTGGAAAGATGAGAAAACGTCATATTAAATAATGGTCAATATATTGTAGACTAAAATAAATTTTATGTCTATAATACATTGAGTTTTATTTCACCCTGATAAACCGAAAGGACTTATTTGCCAACCCAATACATAACAAACTAGGTTGATCTGAAAGTAATGATATTTTTAATTAAAATAAAAAGTATATAATATAAATAAATAGAGGCTAAATATTATTATTAAAAAAAACAATGAAGTATTATAAATTTCTCCTGATTACTTTTATTTATACTACAAAAAAGTTTTTTATCTTGATCATCAAATTAAGTTATTTTTTTATTGGATGACAAAAGAAAATATGTTAACAGGTCCTTAAAGAATATAAAACTTAATTTTGATTAATTTATTTTAAAAAGTTTAAATTTATTTTAATTTCAAATTTGAGCATCAACTTAACACTTCGTTTTTTAAGAATAATCTGTTGAAATATATATAAATACACACACATACAGTGGTGTGAAGATGTCTTCTTTAAGTGTTTTTATATTCTTAATTGTAAACTGATTTAACTTTAGACATTATAGATATAAGAAATATTTAAATTAGCATTATTTCCAATTAACAACAAGCCCAGGGACCAATCCACTGTGTTGCTATTTTTTTTATCCTCAGAATAATACTACCTTAATGTTTAAAGTTCACTACTTTATTACCCACTTCAGTCATTACTCTTTATTATTAGCCTCTAGCACCATTGTATAAACTCTGAAAAGCTGAGTGTATGTGTGAAAATTGTTCTATTATAGGAATTCTTCACTTTTGGTCAGTAAACTAATTTAATATCCCATATTTCATAATTTGTTTACAAGCTTTCTATTTAATGTTACTTTTATTTAAAAAATAGCAAAATATCACATTTCTGATTGTCATCTTACAGTAAAATAAAGATCTGCCCAATCAACTTAAACCAAGATGGTACTGCGTGTTATGTAAAAATGCCATAGTACCGATTTGAATCCAGTTTTCCATCTATTCAACATTAATCTGAAAATTCCACTCCAAATTTTCTCTAACATAGTACCCTCTTCTGGAACCAAAGTTTTAAATTTTGAATCATCTCTCTATACAAATTAATTCCATTCTACATCTGTCCAATTTTCGTGTTCATTGGCAAACTCAAATCACTTTTGCTTGTTTATAACATTTAAGACCAACTGATAAGAGTTTTTTACTGATCAAGAACAAAACTTGGATCCCTGTAGCATCGGCTATTTCCTGAGCCACCTCTCAGATGGATTTTTAGCTGTTTTTCTAACACAATCAATTTATATGCTGTTCAGCAGCTGGCCTATTTTTTAGACCTAGTTGAACGTTTCAAGTTTCCAGTAGGATTATTTTTTTAATAATGTTTGATGGCATAAGGGATTCCAGAAATAGAATTTTCAACTTCTTTTTGAATTTCCCTGACTGTAAGTTTTCATTGATGCAAAATTATAACTTCATATTAGTAAAAAATATAATATTTTACAATTTTCTGAAATAAATTAAGATTAAATAGAAAACAAGTAAAAAATATGAAATATGGAATGTTAAATTAAATTATTGAAAAAAAAAATGATGAATTCCAATATTAGAACAATTTTCACAGATACACTCAGCTTTCTAGAATTTATATAATGGCTCTTGATGTTAATAATAAAGAGTTTTAACTGAAATCGATAATAAAATAGTGAAATTTAAACAATTAGGTAGCATTATTCTGAGGATAAAAAACGTCAATGAATTGGTTGCTTGGCTTGTTATTAACTGAAATAATGCTAATTTAAGTATATAGTACATCCAAAATGCCTGTAAGGTTAAATCAGTTTAAAATTAAAAAGACATAAACACTTTAAAACTAATACATTTATCATTTTTACAAAATTTGGTTTGTTCAAAGAATTTATATATATATATATATATATATATATATATATATATATATATATATATATATATATAACTTAAGATATGAATTATAGTCGGATAATAGGTCTTCTTTTTTTTTATCCGACAGACCTATTATCTGACTATAATTCATATCTTTAGTTATAATATATAAAGGTCGAATTATAAAAAAAATTATAATAATATATATATATATATATATATATATATATATATATATTATATATATTTAACAAAAGAATGTTATCGTTATTAGTTTTTGTTACTTATTTAATAATTATTTGGAATATGTATATAATAACAAGCTTTGTTTCCTGATTTTAAAAAGAAAAATTACCACCAATAAAAAGCTTGACCGACAAAAAGAAGTTTTTGTCTATAGAGCAGATATTGACAAATAGTTTTACAAACATTTTGACAGGTGATAATGATATGTATAAAAAAATATTTGAAAATGGCCAAAAAGGCTGAAAAGTTACAAATATATGTGATATAAATAAAGGAAAGTGTTTTTAAAGTTGATGAAGAAATTTGTATTTGTTCATGTATTTTCAGGGTGAAAAAATGGGTTAAAAATTGGTTAATTAACTTTCCGTAAATTAAATTTTTAATAAGTAAAATATGTTACAAATTTTATGAATAGCCCAGTAACCTTGTATATCGTAAGTTCCATTGAATGGTGGTAGGTTTCTTTTTATTTTTTTGTACGGGATATGACTGAGATGCTAAATCCAAGTTTTAGACCTCGGCACCCTCCCCCTAGATCACTTTTAAATATCCCAAAAACTGCTAAATTTTCGGTTTTTCTCCCTTTTATCCATGAAGGAGCATGTTTTTGACAAAAACCATTTGGAATATTTTTAAACTAGATTAAATATGCTACAATTTAACACCAAAACAGGCTCAGTAAATCAAATAGTTTAGGAGATACAGATTTTCAAATTTAAGAAAATTTTATTTTCCATTTAAATTATTTTTTATTTTTGATCATATGCAATTGTCTTTTATCTTCAATAACCTATTTGATATAAGTCAGGGAAGTAAATTTTTATTCATTTTAATATTTTGCAGAAGGGGTGATAGTAGGGGAGGAGGGAAGAAGATTTGGTGGAAGAGTGTAGTTCGCGGGTCAGACCCTCCTTCCGTGCACCCTCCCTCCACATCACTATCTATTGCATATAGCATATTCTTGTAAGTACATAAAAAAAAAAAGGAAATGTTCCCACAAAAAAAAGTGGACACACTGTCCCAAAATGGCGTCCAACCATGGCTGAGTGGCGACTTTTACTTGAGTTAGTTTTTCAGGCACTGAGATTCAGCAGTTGGCTTAATTTCGTCATAATTAGTCTTTTATTAAAGCTGGATAGTCAGAGTATAATAAATCATTAAAAAAAAAAATTAAAAAATAATAAGTCCTGAATATTTATCACTCAAGAACATGAAATTAACTTAATATTTTCAAGTTTTGAAAAGTTCATTAATTTTATTTACAATTTTTGTATGCACTTGAAATAAATATTGGTTAAATAAATTTTTTATTTCAATTTAAGTCTTCTAATTGTGAAAAGTGAGCTCCCCCTCTTCCACCAAACCTCCCCTCCTCTCTCACCTCTCCTTCAAAATATTAAAATGAATAAAAATTTACTTCACTGAATCACATAAGACAGGTTATTGAAGATATGCAAAAATGAAAAATAGCTTAAAATTTTCAAGTTCGAAAAATTTCCAAAACTTTCAAAAACATTACTGAACTTACCGAACCTATTTTGGTCTTAAATTGTAGCATATTTAATCTAGTTTAAAACTGTATTGAATGAATTTTTTCGAAAATGTGCTCCTTCATGGTCAAAATGGGGAAAAACCTGAAAAAAATTGGGAAAATATAGCAGTTTTGGGGGCTTTAAAAAGCAATCCGGGGAGGGGGAGGGGCAAGGTTGAAAACTTGGATTTTGCATCTCAGTCACATCTCATACAAGAAAAAGAAAGAAACCTTCTATCCCTATTCAATGGAACTTCATGACAAGGTTACTGAGCTAAAACTAATATTTTGAAAATTATTTTCATACATATATTGAAAAAGATATAAACCATATTTGATTTGATTTGATTTATTTTAATAAGATAAATATTTTAAAGTTAATACCTTAAGAATAGCCAAGGATTCATAGTGAGTTAAACCTTTCATACTCTTTCCATTTATAGACAGTATGCGATCTCCTTTTTGTATTCGACCATCTCTTTCAGCAGGACTTCCAATTAGAACTTTATGAACCTAGAATAATTAATAAGTAAAATAACAAGGCTTTTCATTATAAAAAATAAAGTAGATAAAATATGTTGGCCTTGGTTTCTATCCATGGATAACAGAGCGGATACCAAGACAACGCACAAGAGGTAGGCCGACCATAAATTGGGATAAGGAGATAAAAGCAACTTGCAGAGGAAATACCTAAAGCAGAAAAAGACCGGGACAAGTCTTGACTGTAAAAAAAAAAAAAAAGGCACATCTATTTTTTATTCTCTCACCCAGCTACATACAAACTCTAATATCCTCCATTAAAACCTGGTTTTGCATATTTTATCAATAAATTTATTTTGTTTTTGACTATTTTGAAAGATAAATCCAAATAAATGGTTATTTTAATTTATAGAACGTTATAATTATATATGTGCATTGATTTGGAAAGGATTGATTTCACAATTAATATTGATTTGAAGATATCATTAGTAAAGAAGATTTCACATAATTATGAAATACTTTAATTCCAGGCCAGATTTATATAACAGATACATAATCCAGGTCTTTTACTAGGTAGTTTTGTCTTTTTATTGCAAGAAAATTAGAATTTATTGAACTCTAAATCTATAATTTTTGAAGGTGAACATATTGGAAATTATTCATTATAAAATTCTAAATATCATTTCGACGTTTTTTGTGAAACCTGCTAAATGTAACTTACCATCTCTGAGGATTAGATCAAATTTCTCTGATTCTTTACTTTAAAACAAATGTATATGTAGATACTATACCGAGACAAAATAGGGTCTTAGAGACATTCATAGACACATCATGCAAATTAATGACTGAAATTTGAAGAATTGAGGTCTGAAAATTAATGAAAGAATGAACTAATTCATGGCATCACATCAGGAGATCAACCATATGAAAAGGATCACACCATAGGAACCAACAGTTATGAAAAGGTAGAAAAATTTGTCTACATTGTTGGCTCACAGGTCAACGGGAAATGATAATATAATGGCAGAGATAAGTAGAAGAATGAGAAAATAAACTTCTTTGGGCTGGGACACCAATTCAAAACAATCATCTCACTGGGATTACAAAGTAGAGGTTATATAAAACCCTGATCTACCCAATATTAGTGTATTGCTCTAAGAAATAGAGCATCTCAAAGTCAGATGAGCAAAGACTCCTTGTGTTTATGAAAGAAATTCTTTAATAAATTTATTTATTATTAAACTTAGGCAAGAAAGGCAGATGGAGCAATCTGATGTTCAACAAGCTGGTTAACCAGCCATAAGTGGACCCTATGAAAGTTGTCCACATAGGGAAGCCTAGGCTAGACATGGAGGAAGGGTGGTGAAACAGCCTAAAGCATATACACAGCACCACCATTGTCCAACAATCTGATCAAAGATATAATTTGATAAAATGAGTAATTGTTCGCATCCCTGTGCCTAGGGATTTGAACTCGAGCATTGATCTCCCGCCCCTACCCCCTGGCCCGGTAAAATCCCCATATGGCCTAAAAGGCGAGTAAGGGGAGAACAAAAAAAAATAGGCTAGACATATTGCCTAGATGACCAAACAGAGCACTTATAAAAATATATAGATGACCAAACTGGGCGCTTATAAAAATATAATGTCGGATAAACTATATAGGGTTGAGAAGCATCAGAAGAACAAAACAAATGATAAAAGAATCTGCTAAGAGCGCAAAATTGGATTGCAGCCATACAGGGTAGAACGTTGCTGGAGTAGGCTCAGGGACCTAACTATGGGTTGGGGATTGCACCACTGATGATGATTGAAAATGTGAAAATAAAGTTTTAACTTGATGTTTAATATAAGTCTTTTATCAGAATTTATTAAAACTTACAGTTATCTCTTTGGCTTCATAATCAGCTCCACCAGCTAAAGTTATTCCAATACTTCCTCCAGGCATATCTCTGTATAAAATCACTACCAAAACTTCTTGAGTGTTCCCTTCATCTTCTAATGTGTGATTTGCTTCTTCAATTAATTGTGATAATTCCTTTACAACAAATTAATAATTAGAATTAATTTATTTATATATAATAAGAAATATTAGAAAAATTATAAAGTATAAACTGCTCAAAAATGAATAGGGACATATCTGATTGATTCTTATTTTATTCATTTTAATTGAAACACCCTAATTTTTCTTTTTTAAAGATTTTCTTATTTGTTGGTAAACATAAAAAGTAAACAAGTATTATTTATTTTTATTAAGTGAGAAGGAGTTAGTCGGGGGTGCGGTCAGATAAATACTAAATTAAAATAGTAATTATTTTATTTTAATTTTGCCGACGTTTCGACCCACTTCGCAGGTCATCTTCAGGGCTACAAAAGATACAAAACATGTTGAGAATAAAAATTAAATATAAGTAGATATAAATTTAATTTTTATTCTCAACATGTTTTGTATCTTTTGTAGCCCTGAAGACGACCTGCAAAGTGGGTCGAAACGTCGGCAAAATTAAAATAAAATAATTACTATTTTAATTTAGTATTTATCTGACCGCACCCCCGACTAACTCCTTCTCATATTATATCAACGGTCAACCATCTCTGCATCATTATTTTTATTAAGGTTTAAATAAAGGAGAGTCAACATGAAGAATACTAATTGAGTAAATAAACAGTTGTTTTCAACTTTTCTCAATTTCAATCCAGTAATATTCTGTTTAAAGATGGCAAGACATCATATTGAACCAGAAATTCATAATTTATCATGAGAATGAGTGGTCAAGAGTACCGGCAAGTGGATATAGCCGATACAGTTAGCCTCTCACAGAGTCTGGTCTCCTTGGCTTTAGTCAGATTCACAGGAAAAGGATGTACCAATAAGAGACCTGGTAGTAGAGTGCATTACGTGCATCTCAGTGTATTACGTCACCAAGGGATGACAGAAATATTGTTATTAATGCAAGACGCAACCCTTTTCATAGTGTCCAACGGATTCTAAATGAAATATTGAATGTTCTGCCAGGGTCAATATCAACAAAAAAAACATTTATAATAGTTTATGGGAAGCTGATCTAGCTTCTTTCTTATATTTCTTTAAGACAACATGCAGCAACACCCTAGATCACGATGCAGTGAGCGCCTAGTTTACAATTATGTTTACAGGTGAGCCCCGTTTCTGTATTTATAGCAATCGTAGGCGCTGAAAAGTCTTCCGAAAACAGAGAATGGGTAAACTGCTACAGATTGTGCTCCGTGGAGTGTGATAATATGGGCCTATTTAAATGGGACCAACTCTACTGCATATTTTGGAGGATAATCTCATTGGAGTTCTTAATGTTCCAAGAAATTATAGAGAAGTGCAATCCTCAAAACAGAGCCATAATTGGGACAGATTTAATTTTTTTATGACAATAAGCGACTTCATAGAAGAAAACTTGATCATCAATGTCTTAAAAATATGGAAATTTCACATATGAAGAGTCTATTGAGAACAGAACGCTGAATCTGAGTTTGAAGTTAAATATGCCTTCAATTTCGTGCGCTTTAACAACCGCTTACCTTCTCACATATTAACGTATCTACATGAGACATATAAGAAATATAATGCTTTTAAAATTGATTATATAAATTTCTTCTAGAGATGCATAAATTATGAGTTTTGGAAAACAAAAACGACAAAAAACTGCCATTACTCATGAAATAAGCAAATAGTCATTTTGCTCTAACTCCTCACCCGTTGATCCTACAATTTAAAAAGCTACATATAAAATTTTATCTTCTTTAACTTTGTATAGAAAAAGTTTCTAGAAATATAGAAACTTTGTATAACAACTATATAAATTTATATAGAATATAAATCAAAATAATAATAATTTTGATAAAATCCATACTTTCGGAGTTATGGCAAAAAAAACTGAATATTTCACTATTTTTTAATATATCTCGGAATGCAATGGAAAATTTTGTTTGCGAACTTCATATTCAGATTTAGCATCCCAAAAACATAAAAAAACACATAGAAACTAAGTATTTGAATTTTTTTCACATCCAATCACCATTTGACAGAAATAATTTCATGATGTTGACACCATCAGTTTTCAAACCTCAACTGAATACATCTTCAGTCATTAGGAAAACATTCTTTACATGGAATACAAATTTCAGCTGTCAATTCTTCCGTTTAATGAAACATAAAATTTTGCCATTTTAATTTAGTCCTTCAGTTAAATGAAATGGTTGGTAGTCAAATGGCTTCACTACTGCGACACTTTGTGTTCTCTTTAATAGGCGATGATTTTACATACAATATTTAAAATGAATTAAATTATTAAAAGTAAAACTTTTTGTATTTAAGAGTAATTTAAAAGTCAACATTTGACAATAGCTTGGAGATTATTAATTTTATCAATGAAACAACCAATATTAACATTAATTTAACTGACATTTAGTCACTGAAAAACTTTCTGCAAATCTCTTTAAGGACCTTACCCTGATTTAATATTAACTTAACCTTTTAGATAAATTTTTATAACAATAGCTTCGTAATAAAAAAAGTCAAAACTTAATAAACAACTAAAAAACTATTCGGAAAGGACCTGTAAAATTTAATGGATATATTTTATACAGGGCATATGATATAATTACATCTAAGTTGCTATAAAAAATATAATTACCTGCTGGGAAATTAAACTTGTTGATGATGCCAATGATGTTATACTACCAAACTGTTGTTCTTTCTGGAGATTTGAAGCTGAGCCATAGTGTGGCAGATTTGGTATACAACTATCATCACTATTTGTAGAATCCACAGAGGGTATACGTGGGTGCTGGATCAAGTTTTGATTTGAAACTTTAAAACGAGTATTAGGAACAAGAATGCTTTCCACTTTTTCAAAAACCTTTTTCATATTATTCACACTGATTCCTTGAGGTGAAGGAATATTTTCCCTTTCATCCCTTTGTTTATCATACTGATTAGGGTCTATTTGAAGAATTGGTCGACTCATTTTCATTATTGGAACATATTCCACACTACTGTTTTCATTCCATTTGTTAGGATTCTCATTTGGTATAATGCCATCAGGAAAGTCATTAAAATTATTTATCTTCATATTAGAATTTTTATCAATATTTTTATGACTGCTGTAAGTGAAATCTTCAATATTGAATGAAGTTTCACATTTTATTAATTCATTGTTATGAGTGTGATTTTTAATTTGATCATTTTCTACTGGAGAATGGAAGTTACTGAATTCAATAGTGGATTTACCATTAACTGGAACCAAGTTGAATTCAAAATTATCGTTTAATTCATTTATGCTAGGTTCACTATTCATTTTCTTTTCAGATTCAATTTTTTCTTCATTTTCAGAGATAGAACCACTGGTCTTCAATGGAAGTTGGTCTTTGATGTCATTTTGTTCATCAGAAGGATTTTCATGTTTTAAATCAGTGCCAGAACTAAATTTAGCAGAGGAGAGAACATTCTTTCTATTAATTGCTTCAACACTTTGTGGTTTCAAAACTCTTTTGTTATCCATACTGAGGCAACCTCCAGTACTACTAGAACTAGCCTGTGATCCTGATGTGAGAGTTGAACCACTGGAGGCATTTGATGCAGTTGTTTCTGATGAAAGACTTCTTTTCAGTTTCACATCATAACGATTTAGAATTTTGGGGCTGTTAATATCGTTAATATCATCATTCTTTTTTGTACAGGGCATAGGTGAATGGGGAGGGGAGATGCTAGAGCGACTAGAACTTACTGCTGAATCATTATCACTTTCTTCTTCCAGTCCCCTTTCATCATTTTTTGATTGTTGGCTATCTGATGCATAGCCTTCGTTGTACTTGTATTGTGGTAATGTCTCATTGTTTAGATTAGGAGATACTGAGTCTTGTCCATAATCGTTACTTAGATCTGAAATAGATGGTGAAGTGATGCTTTCTAAAGACTTGGGTTCAGAATGAGATGAAGTAACATTCAAATATGGATTTCGTGATAAGCTGGCTAACGACCGAGAAATACTTGTGTTAGCTCCAGATAGGGTTTTAGATGTATCATAAAAACAATTCCTAAGTTCTTCTCTGCTTGAACTTAAAGATGAAGAAACAGATGATACACATGAAGATGTTCCATACAAAGAAAGAGACTTCCTCTTAAAAGCTGGGGAATATTTTGGTATTTCATAATTATGAGTTGTTAATTCTGTTTTCCATGGTGAGCTAGTTATTGAAGCTGAATTTTTATCATTAGGAAATTTACTGTTGGAAACCTTATCATTATCTACTTTAGTAATAATATTTTCTTCCAAGTTGTTGGTAATAGGACAGTCATTACTTTTTATAACAGGTAAATCATCAACCACAAGGGTAGGCACCTCTATTACCTTTTCAGGTATCACTAATCCTCGAAGTTTAGACATCCCTTTTTTTCTCTGTTCAGAAAGGGCAGCAAGAGAACAACGGCGAGCTTCTTCATGCTTTAAGAATGTACTAGTGTATTTTGAACCAACATCAACAAGGCTTTGTGAACGACTATGAAGTTTTGTTTCTCCAGAAAAACTTAAAGCTCTTGAAAGAGAGCTATTATTGGATGTTGATGATGATTTTGATTCACATAATTTGTTTCTTGGGGCATCACTTTTTCTTGGGAGTGTTGAAAATTCAGTTTTGGTAGTAACAGAATGATTGCTAAAAGCATTGTCTGTAAGGTCCAAAGTACTTTGGGTCCTATCATTTTTAGGAATGGTTTCTTTACAATTATCATAATTATTAGTGACATCAAGCAGACTTTGAAATGTCAAGGAGTCTTTTTTCACCAGTAATTTAGCTGCGGGAAGGTCATTCTTCAGTTTCTGCTGACAATCACTTAAAATGATATCTTTACATGCTGTTTCTGTTTCTGAACCTTTCTGCCAATTTTGCTTTTTGCAATATTTTACAGGAGGTACATTAGGAATATCCTTGTTTTGTTGAACATTGGAGAACATTGCAATTTTATCTTTAACACTTTTTTCACTTTTCTCATCATTTCTCCAAGAAGCATATTTACTGGTTTCATTTGAAGTTTTCTTTACATCAATAGTTGATTTGGGCAATATTGGTGGTGTCGATGAATTCACAGGTAGTTTGGAATCATTCAATGGTTTAGCTGGTTTTTTATCTTGCGAAGGATATTCATGACCATCAGGAGGAAGTCTTGAACAACTTGGTGGATATTTTTCTTTGTGAAATGAACCTGAAAATTAAATATCATTTTAATACTACTTATAATTTATTAGAATATTTTTGGTGAAGTAAAACAAAGAAAAAATATCATAATTAATGAATAAAGAGCTCTATATTGTGACTGGAATATTATGGAATAATTATTCCTGAAAACTTATATTCACAGCTTGAAAATTCACTGGCAAGCATGAAAAAAAAAATAGAACATTCTCCCTGAAGAAAAAATCCTGAATGAATGTTTAAATCACTGATTTGTCAATTGATAAAACCAAAATGATATTTTGCCACTAAAGTATAATATGATTCAATTAATTTTCATAGATATCTAAAAATAGTGGGTAAATATTCATTTGATAAAGGGTTTAATGTATACAATTTCCTGGGAATGTTAAATACTTTCATGGGACCAGCAGTTGATACAAAGCTGTTAATAAATCTAAATCGCCTTATTTCTTGAATGGTAAAAAATTCCAAAATGCAGTGGAATGGACAACAAAGGAATGTTTAAACGAGACAGATCTGTGGAAAGGGGTGTAAAGGTCAGAAGAATGAGATCTTGTGGAGAGGGTGTGGATAGATGACTTGAATTGTAGGAGATTGTATGCATAAGACGGACGATGATTATTGATTATTCAGTAAAGGAATGTGCCAAGGAAATATTGTCTTCGGTAAGAGGGGAAGAGCCACCCCAACTCAGCATAGTGGTGGGAAATTCGGGAATGTCTCAGGGTCTAGGTGACAAATCTTATGAAGGCATTCATAATTCTTTTCAGTCTGTCCCCGAGTTCGGCAGAGGCCACTGTACACCACGTAGCCGTAATGAAGGTGAGGGAAGATGGGAGAAGATACTAGGAGTCTACGTGTGGGAATGGGTAGGAGATGGCAGAAGCGATGGAATAGTTTCAAGGTACCAATTGACCGTCAGGAGATGTGTGCGAATTTAGGAGAGGGGTATGTAAGCAGGTTAAGAGTTTCTCAGGTAAAGTGTAAATATTGTAAATAAGTAGGAATGCTATTTATTTATTTTTTAATTTCACTAACAATAATTTTATTATGATTATAATTCTGTTTCATCTAAACAGAAATATCATTATTTTTATTTAAGTTATTGTTATTGCAAACATATTTTTTATTTTATTTTAATTTCTGGTAAAGTATTAATGTGTACATTAATCACTATTAACTATTTTTCTCAGGACCACTGACTGTAATATTTATCATTGAACAAATATCATATTTGTTTATTTGAATAAAAACCAAACATAAAGTAAAAATGTGAAAAAATCCAAAGAGGACTTATAATTTTGGGCCAAAATATCAATTATAAAAACTTTTCTTAATGTTTTGTTCTTTTTAAAGCCACTTTGATTGTTTTTCTGATTAAAATCCTAATATATCTACTAAAACAATAAACTAATCATAGGCAGTGGATCAGCTGATGCGAAGGTCGTGTTCTGAAATCTTATCTCAGCTTTTGCCTATTTTTCAGCGGAATCTCTATGATTATTTACTGAATACAGTTGAAGTGTACACCAGAGCAGTTGTTATTTACTGTTTGATACATTTTTTTTTAATTTTTAATCTTTTTTTTTTTAATTTTAATTTTTTCTTTCTTCTCTTATGATATTCGGCATTGTCAGCAAGTGATGTCCAGTAAGGTGCCCACTAAGAGGACTCGATCAGACGGTGTTAGTACCCCTCGTGATTGACCAGCCAAACAAAGAACGCGTCGCTGCCTGCGAGAAATAGCTCCAATAACCACAGTCAACACTCCAGATCCAGAACCTCAAACTCAACCAGGTACGTCTTCACAAGAAATAGTTGAAGAATCTCCTTTCTTTACTCCAAACCCGTTCCAAGTGCTTCATAATGACAGAGAAGTAATGGAGTCAGCAACAATACCCAGGGAACAATGGCCTCCTCCGATATTTGTAAAAAATATCAAAAATTTCCAGCTATTGTGTACACAACTAAACGAAATCTGCTCCGGCAGTTACTCTTGCCTCAACAGGACCAATGATACAAAAATAACACCAGACAATGCAGAAACCTACCGAAAAATTGTGAAGTACCTGTCAGAAATGAATGCAAATTTTCACACCTACCAGCTGAAACAGGAGAGATCATTATGAATGGTGAGAAATTTGCACTCCTCAACCCCAACTGAAGTGATAAAAGAAGAGCTAGAGACACTTGGTTTCAAAGTGCGTCAGGTAACCAACGTTTTGAAGGAGAATAGGGAGCAGCCTGGAGTAAGAAATAAAGTATCACTGCCTTTATTTTTCGTGGACCTGGAGCCATCACCTGGTGTCGAGAAAATTTATAAAATCAAAAGGTTGTACTACACTATCGTGAAGATAGAGAAGCCATACCCTAAGCGGGAAATCGTATAATGCCACAATTGCCAGGCGTATGGCCACACAAAGACTTATTGCCACCACTTGCTGCGTTGTGTGAAATGTGGTGAACAACACAAATCAGCAGAGTGCACCAAACCAATACAGGATCCTGCAGTTTCTGCCCTGTGCCTGGAGAGACACCCGGCCAGCTACAAAGGCTGCCAAACTTATAAGAACCTCAAATTCAGATACCAGAAGAACCGGATCCAAGATGAGACAACCAAACCAAGAAGAGAACCATCTAGAATTGTTAGTAATAATGTATCATACTCCGAACTACTTGGAGGTAAGAACCCAACTAATATATGTGAAACCCTGCCGCAGCAACTACCTCAACCCCAACCTCCTTATCCCAATCTCCTTACCGGTCACCCTCGCATCAGCGTATTGCCCTCCTAACCGATCCATATCCAATGCCCAATTCACTTCTGTCCTCAATTCCTTAGGACATCACTTCATCTTGGGTGCAGACTTAAATGCCAAGCACCAACAATGGGGTTCCAGAACCACAAATTCTCGTAGCCGAACCCTGTTGTCTGCACTCAATTCCCAACGTTTTCACCTTCTTTCCCCCAACTCTCCAACCTACTGGCCCACATATCCTAACCGTAATCCTGATATTCTTGATTTCTTTATCCACAGCGGCTTAAGTCCCCTCCATTGTTCCATTACACATATAACTGAACTTTCCTCTGACCATAGTCCTTTAATTCTTAATGTTTCACTTGAACCTGTTCCCAAACCTTCTCCACCATCATTTATTAGGGGCCCCGTTAAATGGGAACTTTTCCACCAAATCCTCTCTGATAAAATTAATCTCAATATATCCTTAAAAACTTCCGATGACCTAGATAGTGCCATAAATTCCTTTACTACCACAATCCAACAAGCCGCCTGGACAGCCTCCTTCCCAAAAGACTCCTCCAGAATACCTAAAAAGACCATTCTACCCCAACACCTCCTTGACCTAATCCACACCAAACGCCGTACCAGACTATTGCGGCAACGTCCTCGACATCCTACCGACCGCAGCTCCTATAATTATTACTGTAAAAAATTAAAACTGGAATTAGCCACCTTCAGATCACAATCCCTTAACTCCTACCTATCCTCCCTCTCTTTTCATGACAATTCTCTTTGGTAAACCATAACGAAAATCTAAAACCGTCACCAAATTTCCCATCCACTCCGACGAGAAGACAGCTCCTGGGCAGCATCTGACAAAGATAAAGCCGAAGAGTTCGTCAAATACCTCTCCAATACATTTATTCCCCATCCGGAATCCTATCCTGCCCACACCATAACAGTAGAAGAATTCCTTACATCATCTATCCCACTTTCCTTGCCTCCTAAAGCAATTCAGTCTTCTGAAGTGAAATTTCAATTATAAAAGCTAATCCCCCGTAAATCTCCTGGATATGATCTCCTTACCCCTCAGATCCTTCGATAACTTCCATCCAAAGCAGTCGTATTCCTTACATATATCTACAATTGTATAATACATACCACCCACTTTCCTCTATTATGGAAACACTCCACCATTATCATTTTTCCAAAACCAGGTAAACCTCCCAACAGCTTGACATACTATAGACCAATCAGCCTACTCCCAATTCTTTCAAAAATCTTTGAAAAGATCCTTTTGAAACGACTCCTACCCCGACTCATAGAATCCCAAAATCTTCCTTCCCATCAGTTAGGTTTTCGCTCAAAACATTCCACTATTCAACAAGAAATTTGAGTCGTTGATCATATATCAGCAGCCCTAAAAAACAAACAATACTGTTCGGGTTCATTTCTGGACATAGCACAGGCTTATGACCGGGTATGGCACCACGGGCTGCTCTACAAGCTGAAAATCCATCTCCCTCAGTCCTTATACGTAATCCTTCGATCCTATCTCTCTGACCGCTCCTTTCGAGTACGCTGCGGAACTGCATTTTCCGATATTTATCCAATTAAAGCCGGTGTTCCCCAGGGCAGCGTCTTGGGTCCCATACTTTACATCCTCTTTACCGCTGACATCCCTGCTCATTCCGATACCTTCCTTGCAACATTTGCTGATGACACCGCAATCCTATCATCCAACTCAGATCCTGAAATAGCATCCTTAAATCTACAAAGGCACCTCTCCCTTATTGAGCACTGGTGTAATGAATGGCGCATTAAAGTGAATCGAGTCAAAATGCAAACATATTACATTTACTCTCCGACGCAATTCCTGTCCACCAGTACACTTTAATTCCATCCAGCTACATTACTCAGACACAGTCCGGTATCTTGGCTTTCTCTTAGACCGAGTCTGACATGGAACCTACATACAAGACTCAAAAGACAAGACCTCAACCGACGATATGGCCAGCTATATAGACTAATGAACAGAAAATCTCAACTTTCAATTGACAACAAACTACTGATCTATAAGACAATACTAAAACCTATTTGGACCAATGGACTGGAACTGTGGGGGACAGCAAAATTTTCTAACATCAAACGCATTCAATCCTTTCAGTCCAAAGTCCTTTGAACAATAGTTGATGCTCCGTTCTATGTAACCAACCAAAACCTACATCATGACCTTAATATCCTATTTGTCCTAGACCTTTTCCCTCAAAAATTTTCCAAATTCCACCAAAACCTTACATATCATCAAAATCCAATTGCGCAATCCCTATCTAGCTCCAGCCATCCCAACAATCCTCCTCGAAGGTTGAAACGGCAGTGGCCCAGAGACTTGTAAGAATATATAGGAGTTATGGCAATGGCCAGATTCTCCACTCAAGCCATGTATGTCTGGTTTATTTTTATTTAGTTTAATATCTTTTAGTATATACAATTTACTTTAGTATTATTATATTGCCATTTATTATTTTTATTTATTGTATGGTATGAATGAGCTACCCTATATCACTATGATTATTGTCCTTGAATGTGACAGATTGTAATATCTCAATAAAGAAGTTTAAAAAAAAAGAAAAATGTTTATCTCAACTAAATTTTTGACCATTTGAACGAAAGTTTCAGTTTACCCCATAGGCATTCATTTTTTTAAACAGAAGTAAATTATAGGTCTTTTATATAAAAATAATGTAGAATAACATAGTGATAATTTTTTTATTCCATTTTTATCTTTCACATTTTCATTGATATTTATTAATTGTAGTTTGTGTTGTTTTATACACTTCTAATTTTTAGTTTTTATTCTGTCTTCCTACTTATCTTAACTCTTACATTTTCATGTAAACATATTTGCAATGTTTACATGAAATTTTCAATTCCAATTTTGTTTTGTTTAGCTTTTATATTTAAATATTTTTCCTTTGTATATTCAATTTAGTTGTGTCATATATATATATATATATATATATATATATATATATACACACACAAGATATATATATACATATATACATTATATATATATATTGCAGATTATTATAATACATAATATATTATAATACTTATACTCTTGTATCTTTTATATATTCCACTATATTCAATGAAATTATTTGTTTTTATACTATACTAATCTTGTTTTTATTACCCTAATGGTGTATGAAATAGGCGAAAACAATGGCACACAATAAAACAGTAATACATTTATATTATCTGCAAAATTTAATCAATGATAAACATTTTCTTCATGATTCATTTATTTTATAATAAAAATATGTTATAATAATTACTTTCAGGTTTTTGCATAAATTCTTCTGGTTCCATAGTAGAAGACTTTGTCTCTGCAGTTCCGTCAGGGAGTTCTGTATAAAAAAAAAAAAAAATAGGTTATAACGTTATTTAAGTTATAAACAATAACATAGAGATAATACAAAATATAAAGATAAAAGTAAATCAATGGTTAGAGAAGTAAAAGTGGACCTTACTTGTTACTTTTAATCAACTACTGAATTTTCAAAATAGCATCCAATTACAACACACCATAATGCATTTGAGAAGTATTGGGTTGCCAAATAAGTCCTTTCGGTTTTTTAGTGTGAAATAAAACTGAATGTATTATAGACATACAATTTATTTTAATCTAAAACATATTGACCATTATTTAATATGGCTTTTCCCTATCCAAATTGATCCAAGTGGTTTTTGATGTCCTCTTCATTTTGGAATTTCTTTCCATTCATGGAGTTCTGCAGAGATCGGAATAAGTGGTAGTCACTTGGAGCTAGGTCTGATGAATTGGGAGGGTGGGGCAAAAGGTCCCATCCAAGGCTCAATAACTTATTGCAAGTGAGCAATGAGGTGTGGGGCCTAGCGTTGTCTTGGTGGAACACAACACCCTTCTGATTTGCCAGTTCTGGGCGTTTATTTTTAATTGATTGATCCAATTTTGTTAATTGTGAGCAGTATAGAGTCAAATCAATTGTTTCTCCTGATGGCAATAGCTCATAGAAAATAAGACTCTTGAAATCTCACCATATGGAAAGCATTATCTTCTTTGGATGCAATCCGGGTTTTGACATTCTTCTAGGCGCTTCACTATTAGGCCTCCAAGATTTTCTACGGACTACATTATCGTAAAATATGCATTGTTCGTCTCCTGTTATTAACCTTTTCTAAAATGGGTCGTTTTGTTGCCGTTTTCGTAGTGAATCACAAACAGAAATGCATGTTGCCAAGTTAGAGAATGAGGGACCTAAACATTAAGCCTGGAAACTTAGCCGAGCTTGTGCAAATGGTTTCTACACTTGTGTGCGATAAATTTAGGGCCATAGCAATCTCTCGCACTGATTAGGTGGGATTTTGATCAACAATGGCCTTAACATTGCTTGTTTTAATTTCATGTGGGCGACCAAACCGTTGCGCATAATAGATGTCAAAAATTCCTGAATGAAATTCGGCAAACTAATTTTGACAGGTGTGTTCAGTTAAAGTATCATCCCCACAAACACAGCAAATTTTTCCATGAGCTTCTGCATCATGCTTACCTTTTTTTAAAATTATACAACAAAATATGCCGATAAGAAAGATAGTTTCTTCAAGAATCACAGCGCAATAGCAAACACAATACTAAGCTAGTTTCAACAAGAGTTAACAGATATAGTTGTTGAAATATTACAAACAGAAAACAATCCACCTTAGGGGTTAATTAATCAGATAAGAAGTGTATCATAGTGACATAAAAATAAACAGAAAAACCGAAAGGACTTATTTGCCAACCCAATATTATGAATACTTGTGTATTCATTATCGGTTTGTATTTTTTTCACTAATAATAATTCTGAATCAAATCCGCACTCGCGTCCTCTCGCTTATAAAATTCGCCGACTTTCGAATTTTTTCATAAAATTGCATGACTTTTATTGGTCATAAACAAGTTCAGTAGATAACTATAAAATTTTCTTCTGTAACCAGGGTGTTTCTCCCACTTCTGTTTTATTTTCTAATTCTTAAATGATTGAAAACTTCCTAACAATCGCAATCTGTTGAGCGAAGAAATTAAACTTCGCTCAAGCAGATATCGGTTTTTTTCCCGGGACATGGGATTGATTACAGAGTTAAAAGTCTCCCGTCACCGGGATGCCAACTAGTAATTATTTCATCGTTTAAATTTTGGTTTATCAGGTTGCCGATCAACGCGTGTTTGGCACACACGTTAGTCCTCTTGGCCATCCCGCGCCAAAATTTTAACAAGTTATAAAACTTTAATAAATAAAATCTTACACTATTTTTTCGGTCCCCTTGAACCTCCAGACCTCTGTACCATGGGCCCAGAAATCCCTCTCCCATGTGGGGACCTTGACTGCATTTTCTTGCAGCATTTTATATACACGCATATATACAACTTAGCTCCTCCTTCCCCCTCCCGAAAACAATTCTGACCACGCTTTAGTTCGAACCTTGTAAATTTATGAAACTCTGGAAAAAAAAAAAAAATCACAATTTTGCTTATTGTAAAATCTATAAACTTTGTATTCAAGAAGACCCATGATAAAGCCGTAGAGAGTCGCGGGATTATTTCAACATGAGATTATTTTATCCTATGCATTGATTTCCTTAAGAACTATCTTTTTCTTTGATCATAAATTTGTTTTTCATAATTAATATTTTTTTAAAGTTCAACATCTTTTGGTACGGAAGTTTTTATTTCTGGAAAAAATAAAACTAAAAGAGCAACTGCAAGAACCTTCCTAAGAGTCTCGCATGGAGTTATTAGAGCGGGGAGAGGATTCGGTTACCGGTGCCTCCCCTGCCTTCTTTTGCCACTTCTGTTATCTTTTATGTTCCGTGCTTGTCGTCATCATACTTCTAATCAAGATGCGCTCTATTTTTCAATATGGTATTTTATTAATGTTATCGAGAGAATTCCTAAAAGGTTAATATTTGCTGTACCGAATGGTAAACGTCCGAGGGGTTGACCGAAGCGAAAGTGGTAAGATTGCATTAAAGTCGATCTGATGGGACTGGGTTTGGACGGCGAACGGTGGAGGGAGGTGTGTAATGAGCGATTGGTGATGTCGGCATCAAACCTTCGGGTTCGCTAAGCCTATTATTATTATCGTTTTATTCAAATCTAAGTATTTAAAGATTTTCAAAGAGCGAAGGTCAAAGAATAATTTATTTAAGATGGAAAGCGTTTCTAGATTATATTTTATTTGGAAATAAACTTTTCAGATAAACTGCTACATTTGTATTACTATCTAGATCGGGAAAAAAAGGATTGAGGGTGAATTTCAATTGATAGCGAATGGTTCTTGATGCCAACTGCCATTGAATTGGGATGACGAATGTCCTTCCAATTTAAAGTGAATAGCACTTTCGGCATATGGATACATGAAAAAATATGATATTTATCTGAAAATTTTTTAGAAATATATATATAGATATATAAAATTAACAACTTGATAGATTAAACTACTTGTTGAGATATCAACAAAGTTGAAGCGAAAAAAAAAAAAAATAATAAAAAAAAGAAGGTATAAATACAAATAAGATTCATTGAGATTAGACCACTGTGAAATGGATTTAAAATTGGAAAAAGACAGAGACAACAGCAAGGAATCTTCCGATGAGGAGACGATAGAAAGGAGAGAATGGAATAGGACATTTAGTACACTTCCTAACAAGGTAGGGAGCACGAGGAGGGAGTTCAGTTGTTCATGAGTCAGCCTGTTTGGACCAACACACACAAGGCTGCCAATAAAACTTTAAGCAGCATCAAGGTGTACAAAATTATTATTTTAATCCGTTGCGCCATTACATCGCAAGGCTCCTTCAGTCACACAAAATAAATTATGAACGTTACCTGCTGTGCCCTTTGCACAGCAATCGGATACATATGTTCAATGGTACAGAGGTCGCCATTGTGATAGATCGATTATACCAATTAGTGATTTAGTTGTATAAACCTAACAGTGTTACCTTTTATGATGAATATAAGAGTTGTGATTACTAATAGTGTAGTTTTGTGTTTTGATATTCAAATACCTAACAGCCATGTTGACCATCCTTTGGAATTTTTTTGGTAATTTTTTAAATTATTGTATAATAAATAAAATAAAATTTATTTATTATACCTTAGTAGGTAATAACAGAATAGGTAATATAGAGACACATAATTCATTAATGTTTTGTAAAGTAATCACTAATGAATCCAGGATTTCATTTTGGGGAGGCTTCAGCCCAAACACTTTTTTTTTTTTTTTAATATACCGATAATTACTTTGGAAGAAAAAGAATGAAACTAACTACCAATACGGAATGGTGTTTAAGTAATTCTTGAAACCCTGTTAAATTAATTACACGAACGAATATACTTTTATGGATGTTTTTAAATAATATTTTTTCTTAAGATAAGGTGATATTTTACCATTTGGGGGAGGGGGGGGAGTTCAGCCCAAATGTGCATCCCCCCCAGTAAATTTGCCTGTGAAAGTAATCAAAACAAGTAACAAAAAAGTCCGGGATACATCATCATACAGCAATGAATCAATAATTGGAGACAACGGGGATTAGACTGGAATCAGGCAATGGTATGAATTTGAAACTGTTCGGTGACTATAGAAAAATATTTAAAAAAATTTTCCTTAGCAAATCATAGAGATTGCAAAAGCAAGGAGTAGCAGTTTTTCCAATTAAAGAAAAATATAGCAGATATGTCCTCCATATAATATCGTTATCTATATCGTTTAAAATATTTACCATCATAATATTTCACACATAAACACACTCACACATGATATATTTATATAACACACAGAGGGTGGTGCTGGACAAGTCCCATGGCTCGGTATAAAGACGTGAGCGCCCTGATACAGACTTTTAAATAGACATAGGAACATTTATCAAAAAGTTATAACTTTAAACGGTGTTTTCACAAAAATGAATACATTTTCAGACTTCTTAGGCCTACATATCTCTCAGATGTTTGGTCAATAATGTGACATATTTAAAGAGTGATAGTAGACCTCAAAACATACAAAAATATGGTACGATTTCGCACATAATTACAGGAAAATAAAATATATATATATCTTTTTTTTTTTGTTAAGTGCCTCGTTTTTGATTGAACATGGAGTGATAAGCAAGTAAATATTTAATTTAGGTAATTGCCAATTGCAGGATGGTAAATTATACAACATTTTCTTCAAATGCAATTGTTAGTTCGGTAAATTAAATAGTGTATTCATTATCGCTTCTTGTTCAACAAAAACGAGACTTGCTTAAAAAACAAAACAAAATACAAACCTTAAATTACTGCGTTAAAATGGACCACAGTTTATATGATTTTTTTTTTTATAAATCT